CAGTGTCAGAGAAATTACATGATTTACTCAAAGTCATATAGTTAGTCCAAATGTTATAGCTTCAAATTAAAAAAATCCAACTATAAAATTATCTAAAAGACTTTTTTTTTCCTCCCAAAGTTTCTCCCTTACAATTTAGAATTTCCATGTTTCTGTTAGAAATATAAAGGGTTTTGGTAATTACATTCAGGTTTTCTGCAAAGTAACTTCAATTTACTTGCCATAACACATTTGACAATTGTACAACCTGTCTGTTCTGTCCAATCAGATCCTCTGTCCAGGTCACCCTGGTTTCACTCATACCCATATTCCTTCCTCCCTTTTCCACTGTGCCCGTTTACTAACATTTATTCAGTCTCTGCTTCCATTTCTTAATAGGGAAAGTCATGGTGGAATTGAGTCTCTTGTGTGAAGAAGTGTTAATTCTCTGTGGAAACCTGGAGGAGTAGTGCTCCAACTTTGTGCAGTTGAGCTTCCTTATCTTCATACAGAGAAACCTGTATAAATTGAGTGCGAATTCTCCAGAGGATGTTTCTCTTAGGTCATACAATTCAGTGCTGTATAATATTATAAAATCAATGCATTGAATCACTAAGTTGCATTTGTGGGAGTTTTTTTTTTTTTACTAAAGAGGTAAAACATTTGATTAAATGGAATGAAAATTAGGGACAGTCAATAGATAAGAAACTGAAGATTCTTCTTGGGTACCTATTAGTGGGGTTACCACCCATCATTCTTCTCACTGATAACTGGAGGTACTTTTCAAGTGATAACTCAACGCTCAGGTAAGAAAGTCCATTGCTCTGCCTTTCATATTCACTTAAAAGCTTGAACACTGATTAGCTCTATAAGTAGTTTGGTTGCACAAGTCATCAATTCATAGAAGCATGTAGTTGAGAGGGCGGGATAAGGGCAGTCAGAAACAAGTCAGAAATCATGTAGAAAGATGAAACCCAAGGTCATACAGAAAGTTAATGCTAGAGCCAAATCAGCATTAAGCTATTGCATGTTAAAGGGAAAATATTTAAGCATTCCAGGTTCAGATTTTTAAATCACTCGTGAAAGCAATAATTTTGATTTGTTCCACAACTTTGTTGTATTAGCTCCTTAAAGTTTGTCTATTTTGAATAGTATACTCTAAATTTTTGCATTTTACAAATTTATTTGGCTTTATAAATTTGGAGCTGAATATATAATTAGAAATGGGTTTTAAATGTTTTTTCCTGCTGGGTCCATTTTATTAAACTTAGGAGATTTTTTGACATCCAAAATATATAATTATAGTTAATACAGACATTTGGTTGTAATATATCACTATGGTCATACTTAGTAAATCAACTTGGCTTTTACTTTCTGCTAATGTCCATCAGCTTGCTGAGTTCTTTGGTCCTCCTGGCTTCCTCACGTTCCACAGTGAAATTCTGCTGGTTTTCAAAGCATCACACAAAGGCCAGTAGACCTCCTACTAAGGTGTCATTGAATACCTTTGATTTGAGCAATTCAGCCTTTTCTCCTGTTGCCTAAGGAAGCTCCTGTGATTTTGGTTTTCTATGCTCATTCTCCTTTCAGAAATAATTGGTTCCTCATTTAAATTTCCCCATTTAAATTTGTTTCCTCATTTAAATTTTCAAGGAAGATCACTTGAGTCAGGAGTTTGAGACTAGCCTGGGAGACATAGCAAGATCTCATCTCTACAAAAGATAGAAGAATTAGCCAGGCATGGTGGTGCATGCCTGTAATCCCAGCAATTTAGGAGGCTGGGGGAGGAAGTTCATTTGAGCCCCAGAGTTCGAGGCTGCAGTGAGCTGTGATTGTGCACTGTACTCTTGGGTGAGAGTGAGATCCTGTCTTAAAAATAAATAAATATATAAAATAAATTTCTTTCTTTCTTTTTTTTTTTTTTTGTGTGGGAGTCTTACTCTGTCGCCCAGGCTGGAGTGCAGTGGTGCACTCACAGCCACTACACCTTGACCTGCTGGTCTCAGGTGATCCTTCCACTTCAGCCTTCCAAGTAGCTGGAGCCACAGGCATGTGCCACCATGCTTGGCTGATTTTTTAATTTATTGTAGAGATGAGGTCTCATCATGTTGCTGGTTTCAAACCCTTGAGCTCAGACAATCCTCTCACCTCCACCTTCCAAAGTGCTGGGATTGCAGGAATGAGCCACTGCACCAGGCCTATGAAATACATTTCTTTTTTATTTTTTATTTTTGAGTTGGAGTCTCACTCTGTCGCCCAGACTGGAGTGCAGTGGCTGCTCCCGGCCACCGCAGCCTTGACTTGCTGGGCTCCGGCGATCCTTCTGCCTCAGCCTTCCGAGTAGCTGGAATTACAGGCACGCGCTACCACGCCCGGCTGATTTTTTGATTTATTGTAGAGATGAGGTCTTGCTGCCCAGGCGGGTCTCGAACCCGCGGGCTCAGGCAATTCACTCACCTCAGCCTCCCAAAGGCATGGGGTTACAGGCTGAGCCACCAAGCCCGGCTTGAAATACATTTCTAAAGCAGTTGTTACTACTCTGGTTCCTCTTGAATCCCAGCTTGAGAGGTGGGCATTTTATCCTACTGAGATGCTGAAGGTTCTAGGAGGGAGTATAATATTATTTTGACAGAGATTTGAGGTACACATTGAAAGAGAAAGTATAAAGCACAGAGAACACAGGTTTCCATTTAATGATGGAGGTAGTGTAAGGGCAGGAATAGAGGCAATGAGCTGGGGCAGTGTCAGTGGGGATGGACTTGCTGATTCTAGATTGTATATATTTTTTGACAAACCTTTGTACATCAAGGGCTGACTTTGATAGATTTTAGGGAGGGAGCTCCTCTGCTCCGTATGAAATCCTGACCTAGAAGCGGGTTGTCTATGAATGGTTTAGCTCCAGGTGATTCCAGGTTTTAAAGACCCCGACAGTGGGCCCTGACAGTGAATAGAATGCTGGGGACAGGGAGAGATGATCTGGGTGACAGAAGGGAGAATGGGGTGCTCTTCCCAGAGAAGGGTTCTAGAAAAGCAGTTGGATTGGGAGGAAAATGGTAAGTTCTGTGTGGGACTGGCTTGCTCAAAGTGATTCAGGCAGCAGGCATGCCTACTACGTGCCCATTTACCACTATACCACCTCACCTTCCTTTCAGCCTGGCTTCTGTCTGAATGGAGGAGAGACCCTGCAGCCAGCAGTTTTCTGTCAACAAATTAGAGAAACACCCTGTTGGAGCCGGAGGGGATGTACAGAGTTCTTTTGTTGTTCCCAATCATACAGATGGGGAACCTGAGTGCAGGAAGGCAGAGACTCATGTTGGAAATAATGGTGTTATGGTTCGAGTAACACTCGGTTGCTCCCCTTGGTTCCAATAAATCAAAGGGGCAGAGAGTTGGTAGAAAGAAGTTTATTTCTGAGTTTGAATCCAGGGAGCAGAACTGGACTCGAGGTCTTTCTAAAATGGTTCTGCTCCCCATCTAGGCTTTTACAGTTCACTTTTATAGTCCAGAGTTGTCGGCACCTATACATTAGCCATGTGACCAGCAGAGCATCGTATAGAACTTGGTTCTAGCTGCATTTATCGATAGTGACATTTTTCTGTCCAGATTTCCTGGTGCCAGGTGTCAGAGGTATCTCATAGCTTTTATCAGTAGAGCCTGGCAGAAGCAGCAATCAAGCTTGCTGTAGAGTTAAGGGCCTAAGACATCATGCATTACACAAAGGTTATACAAATCACAAAGCTTATGATTACATTGATACAAAAGTTGTATAATTCATAAGTCTTACGATTACATTGATACTATATTATTCAAATTTATAACCACTCAAGAAAAAGGGAGTAAAAGGAGATTTGCATCTTTTGGTTGATGGGGCATATACTAAAGGGAAGTCAACAATCTCCTGAAACTACTCACTGGGAGTGCATAGGAGATAAGGGAAGCAGACCTTTTGTTAGCTCTCAGGAATATTGTTCAGGAATGTACAGAAGTTCTTGCACCCTTGTCATGCCCTTCTCTAGGGGTTGTGACAATATGAACAGACATTAGAGGGTCTCTGTATCAGTGGCAGAGTCGGACTGGAGCCCAGTTTGAGGCTAGTTCCCAATTTAAGGGTACTTCCAGCCCCACAGGGACTTCAAACATCTACAAAAGCCAGGGATGTGGTAAGTGCTCAATCAGTATTTGTTGAGTGAGAAATGATTTATTGATCTTCTTAATATATATGTGCTTGTGTGTTGTGTGTGTGTGTAGACAGAGAGAGGGAGTGATGGTTTAAACCATAGGATCAGAATGAGCCTATACTGAATTTTCTATAACCCTGACAGCCACTTTATGCTTACAAGGTTTCCTGAACTTGTCCATGGAGAACTGAACTCTAAGGTTTTCCATCAAGGCAAATTTCAATATAATTAGTTAGATGCAGCTTGACCAGCAGTCAATATATTTGAAGCCAATTTACTTATCTTTATCCAAGATAAGTGCATCTAAAATTCAATTCCTTTTGAATGTTTCTGTATCTATTTATATATATTATTTTTATTTTTTATCTTTAACAAAGCAATATAAATGTATTTTGAACTTTGATATTTATAATAAATATTCATTAAAATTCACTTTAATTTTGAATTATTAAAAAATTTTCTGTATTTTTAAATATTTGTCTAACTTTAAACCTTATTTTAAAATTCATTTATAACATAAATTGAAATAAACACAGAAATGCATATGTCAGTGTAATGGACATTAACTTTTAAATAATATAATGTTTCTATTTATTTTAGGAATAGGGTTTAATTTTCAACCTGCATAGAAAACAAGTTGCGAGACAACACCTACTGTTATTTTGTACTTTTAAAACAAGATTTCTGAAACAAAATTCTTGACTTATTTATTTAAAGAACTTATTCACACAAGTTATTGACCATTCCTCACACAAGTTATTGACCATTCCTCAACCCAAAGTTCTGTCAGAATGAGGTTGTCATCACATCTTCTGGGGTCAGAAGCCAGAATCTAACTCACAGTTTTTGGACTGTGACTTCATGCTGCATGCACTAAGTTCATAAAAACAATACAGCATTTGAAATGAGAAGACAAAATCAAAGCTCCTTGGTTGAATTCATCCTCTTGGGCTTTTCTAACTTTCCTGAACTCCAGGAGCAGTTCTTTGGGAGTTTCCTGGTTACTTATCTGGCTATCTTGATGGGAAATGCCATCATTATAGTAGCCATTTCCCTGGACCAGAGACTCCATGTTCCCATGTACCTGTTCCTCCTGAACTTGTCTGTGGTGGAAGTGAGTTTCAGTACAGTCATCATGCCTGAAATGCTGGTGGTCCTCTCTACTGAGAAAACTACGATTTCTTTTGTGGACTGCTTTGCACAGATGTATTTCATTCTTTTTTTTGGTGGGACTGAATGTTTTCTCTTGGGGGCAATGGCTTATGACCGATTTGCTGCAATTTGCCATCCTTTGAACTACCCAATGATGATGAACAAAAGAGTTCTTATGAAATTAGTAATGTTCTCGTGGGTCTCAGGGATCATGGTGGCTACTGTGCAGACCACCTGGGTATTTAGTTTTCCCTTCTGTGGTCCCAATGAAATTAATCATCTCTTCTGTGAGACTCCCCCAGTGCTAGAACTTGCATGTGCAGACACCTTCTTATTTGAAATCTATGCCTTTGCAGGTACCATTTTGATTGTTATGGTTCCTTTCTTGCTGATACTCTTGTCTTACATTCGAGTCCTTTTTGCCATCCTGAAGATGCCATCAATGACTGGGAGAAAAAAGGCCTTTTCCACTTGTGCCTCTCATCTCACCTCTGTGACCCTCTTCTATGGCACAGCCAATATGACTTATTTGCAACCCAAATCTGGTTATTCACCCGAAACCAAGAAACTAATGTCATTAGCTTACACATTGCTTACACCTCTGCTGAATCCACTGATCTACAGCTTGCGAAATAGTGAGATGAAAAGGTCTTTGATGAAATTATGGCAGAGAAAAGTGGTTTTACACACAATCTGACTGTGTTGAGAAGCCATGTGAGATTTGATCACTACCTAACTCAACTCTATTTAAATTTAATAAATGGTGAAAACAGATTGCAGCTTTTGGCATGGATATGTTAAATTTGTTGAAATTTTTATATTTGATAATATATAGGGGGATCCCCTTTTTCAATAAAGTATTGCTGTCACTTGTTTTTAATAGGTACCTAAGTTTTCATGATATATGATACAACAGTCTGTTCACTTATATCTCTATTATGAACATCCAGGTTGTTATTGGATTATTGTCATTAAGATGATGCTTCAATCAACACCTTGTTCCATATGATTATATGTACTGATGTCTTTATATCTGTGTGATAGATTTATTAAAGTGGGACTGATAGAACTAAAAGTATGTATGCTCACAAATTGTAATAGTTATTGTAGAATTACTTAACAAGATTATTGTAGCTACTTCAGACTGGCCCAGAAACCCACTGTGTTTCGTAAACAGAGTAGAGATTCAAGAAACCAACAGAGTGATGAGGTTTTTATTTCTGAATCGAAAAATTTGTTTCATGATGAGTAAAAAAGAAGTGCATCTATTTTGGGAACCTCAGATTAGTTCACTTGAGTGTGGGGGTGGGTGGGGGTAGGGGAAAAATTAGTTTACTCACATAGATTATAATCCCAAACTGGATTTTTCTTGGTATTTTCACAAATATTTATCCAGTGTTGGTGATCAGAGAACTACACAGGAAGTTTCTTGAATTCACACTTGATAATATTAGTATCTTTTTCACTTGCAGACCACTGTTTTCAGATTTTTATTAAATTTCCACTTGTAGGCTAAAATATCCCTAGATACTTTGTTTATAAAGAATAAATAGCTGGGCCCTGTGACTTGTGCCTGTAAAATCTAGCACTTTGGTGGGTGGCGGTGGGAGGATCACTAGAGGCCAGGAGTTTGAGACCAAAAAAAAAAAAAAATCATTTATTTTGTTGTTGCTTATTGTGGGAAACAAATGTAATTAATTAATGACACCTATTTTCCAAGGTTCTTGAGTCACAACACAAGAGTATGACCTTTCTCAGAATAAATAATTGCACATGTTGCAACATTTGGAACAGTTCATGCTTGCTTTCTGTTTTAATGTTGCTGTTAGATAATAGTGAGGAACTCCTTGTTGAATCTACATCTCATGAGATCCCACTGCCCTTAATTTCTGCTCCAGGAATGGCAACACAGAGGCAAAAGACTATTCCTATTTGAAGCTGACATTCAGTTGTGGAAAAAATTATTTTTCATTTACAATGACCTCTTCCAGAGATGAGAAATAGTGGTGCAAAATGGTTTGGACTTTCACAAAAAGAAAGTCCATCAGAGGGTTGAGACCATTTTGAGTAATATTTGAATGTTGCATAATATTCTTTTCATTAGGACATTTAATAAGCATCAGCAAATTCTTTCATCAGATTCTGTCTCTTGGTGTCCTGAAGTTTCCTTCTCATTGTAGTTAGAGGGACCAATTAAATAAGACTTTTCAGGAAAAAAATTCTTTGAAACCCAAAAAACCAAACAAAATACACATTTTTATTTGAACTTTTATCCTGTGTTTCATTTGTTCATTAATAGATTGAGTCAACAAGCTTTTCTTGAGTACTTAATGTGACTGTTCCTAGAAAAATAGTCTCTGCCTTTGAGAAATTAATATTTTACTGGAAGATTGCTCAACTTTAGAAGATCACTAAGTCAACCTTATTTGTTTCTCTCCCTGGTGAGAAACAGAAGTTGGACTGGTATGGTTTGATTACATACACGATAATTTCAGAGTCATCCCAAATCTCTATTTGGTAATAACTTTAGCAAAAAATAACAAGTTTAAAAAGACCCAGTTTAGCATTTTATTCTGAATAGCAGCAATTCTGGCAACACCAGTTTTAATCTCATGCCAGCTAATAGGACTGATACTTTGAACTCATGCTTCCCTGGTTTTGAAGTTCATGTTCAAATTTCCAACCACAATCAACATGGTTAAAAAAAGTAAACTTTTAAAATGCAAATCTTATGATGACTTTGCTTAAACTATTTCAATTTGTTTCTGCTACGTTTAGAATTGGAAAAAAAAACAACAAACTTTTCACATTGCTTAGGAAACCCTACTTGTTTTAACCCCTGCCTAAACCTCCTGCTATTTTATGCATACTTTCTGCCCCTCACTCGTTCATTCACTAACCTTTCCAGGTGCTTACTCCATTTTTCAGCTGGTGAATTCATATTTCTTTAGATCTTCTTAAAATGCCATTTCCTTCAATGGCCTTCCTTGACCTTCTGATCCCCAATCCCCTTCCCAAATCATTCTTTCTCTAAATGCCTGGTCCTTTCTTGTGGGAGTCCAGCTCCTGCCGGGTCTAGGGTATCCTGAAGGTGGGAACGGAATTGGCGTTGAAAGGAACACTTTGGACAACTGTTCTATTATGACTAGATCAGATGCCATTTATTGCCAATTAACAGCAAACTTATATCCTTCTTTACAAGGAAATAATTTCTGCAAGTCATTGTTACAAAACAAGTCAAAATCATCATTACAATACAACAAATTACATGAATTCTTGTGATGTTAAAACGATGCTTAAGGGAAAGTTTAAGTATTCTTCTCCATGCTTGGTTAATGTTCTCTCTAAGGGTGGAAACTACCTCCACCCCAAGACAACACCCTTCCAAACCACACAATGATGTTATCTTGAAGTAAAAACAGTCCCCACAATCCATTAATATGAAACCTTAAAATTATAAACTTAAAAACTCATATAAAATCATAAAACTTCTTATTAAGTAACTCTACTTAAAACAAAACTCACATCCTAAATTAACTAATACATATTACAAATTTCTTAACAATTCTAATACCTTCAACAAGTTTTTCTACAACAAAGTCTCTGGGGGCCAGAGTTTCTGGCCCTAGGCTTTGAAGCAGTCCATGTGTAGAGTACTTTCATCTGTGCAGAAGAATGTGCACCTGGAGACCCTCCTGAAGCACCTCACGCAGATGTACATTCTTCCACGGGTGAAGAGTTTCTCTTTCGAGGCCCTCTGGTCTTTCAAGCCCCTTGGTAGTTTCTTCTTGTTTGAATTTCTTCACTGTCTTCCTTATCTGGAACATCTTATTCCTAAGGAGAACAGCTCAGAAGAAACTTTTAGTGATGTTATTCAGGCTTGAAGGTAGTTTTGGTTGTTAAATAAAACCTGTTTCACTTGCTTAAATTCTACATCTAAACCCTTCAACTTCTTATATACTAAAACTTTAATATGTATCCCAAACCCCTAAAAACAAACTTATAAATCACCTACATATACCTTAATATAAACTTTCACTACACTTAAATCTTATGCCTATGATTATAAACTTATACCTATAAAACCTTATACCCAAACACCATAACTACAACTACAAATAATAAGTAAAAATATTTAAAACAATTCTTTGCTTAAACAAAATCAGAAACCTCTTTTTACCTGGTATGAGTCACAAATCCTAACGCAAAAAACAAGACCTGTAACCCACGACCAAGTGAAAGAAAAGCCCTTTTGACGTGCCTCAGAGCTTAACCATCACATGGGCAAAAAAGGGAAAGGTCAAACAACGTAGTGGGAAGTGGAAAAATGGACAATGAGTTTCCAGTAGCTGAAAATACTTCACAAAAACATGGCGTTTTCTTCTTTCACAACTGCACAGAATTCTTTGGCCATATCAACAGCAAAGGCAGAAGAGAGAAGGGCCTCAGCTTCCCAGACTAGACCTGCAGCCCAGGGTCTTTAGCCCACCAGGACCTTATCAATCAGGTAAGCCTCCAAAGCTGGCTCCCAACACTTTCTTCATAACCTTTTATCTTAATTTTATTTTATGTAGCATAATGGACTTTCCTTCTTCTCAGTGGTACTTTGTACTGGCTGTTAAGATAATAAATCAAACTGCTTATAACATGACACAAGGTGGAGTCAGGGCAGGCAACCTTAGCTTAGCTGGATAAAGTGTAGAGAAATACCTGAAAGAAGTTAATCGTCACAGCATCAAATCTAATGTTTTTCTTTTCAAATACTTCATCCTGTGGCCAGACCATCTTCCCTATAGCTGAAGAATTTTACCTGCTCCCAGCCCTTTCTCAACAGTGGGAAGCAGAAAAGAATGGTGGAAGAATAAGGAACAACACATAGGTTGGAGTAGGGGGTTGTGAGAGTCCTTTGACTCTGAAGATAGCCCAGTGAAAGTTTCCAGGGTGGAGAGGGAGGGCATCCACATTCTTTTTGGGGTTGAAGTTGTGTAGTTACCCACAGTCCCTAAATGATCTCTAGACTAACCAGACATATGAGATCAAGAGCTTTTATATTACAAACTTGGTACCTTCTTTCTCCAATTTTTGTTCCAACTTTCATGTCTTAAAAATATATGTTTATGATATAATAGTACCTCTAAAATTCGGGTTGAATGATGGTTGTGAGCATGATGCAGTTTAAATTTTTGGTGGTAGTCCTGTGTACATTGACTATAACTTACTTTTTGAAAACAGATGAAATAGGATTAATTTTGTGGGGGAACTGCATTGCCCATTAAGAGTTTTATTGGTAAAATGGGAATCATGTGTCTCTTAGTACTTTATGTTTTTGCTATAATTTATTGTGCATCATAGCTGTAAAGAAAAAGAAAACACAGAATTGTTCAAGACTGTAAAAATCACATTAAGTGTGAAAACTAGTAAAAAATTTTATTTAAGCTTCAATATTGATTGAGTTAATATTGACTATTCAATATTATTCAAATGAGCATGACATTAAAACAAAAATAAAACTAATATTGTGATATTGAGATTGGGTATTGTAGTCTGTTAAATGTAGGGGTATCATTATAATTTGTCTATATTATTTGGAGATAGGCAATACATACATATATCCATGGAATATTTAAACTATTTTTGAGTTTATTATTATTTAATAAATACCAACTTTAAACATCTGAATTGTTCATTGGTATTCAATTCATATAGAATTTATTTAATTTGGGTTTAA